CTCCTCCTTTTTTTGAAATCGGTTAAAAATGAAATTTCGTGAGCGACATCAACTTCGTTAAATGATTTCCTGTTACACAGGAAATGTTTCCATATATATAATTTTATTTACAGTTTATAAAACACTGAAAATAACGAAATATTTAATACCTAATAATTATTCTAAAAGGTAAACGTAGTAATAAAATCTTCAAAGATATGTTCTCAAGCGTGGACTAATAAGACCCGTGGCCATTGGGACGCGTATGGGTTGATGAGGACTCTCTTTATCAAACAAGTTTCCCACGAAAAAAAAATACAACCACAAATATATCACAAACAGAAATTCACAAATCACTGCATACACTAGTGGCGTAGTCGCAAAAACTTTGTCACACATCGACATTTAGCGAATAGGCGAAGCGTATGATCGCCAAAGGAGATGTAAAGCCACTACTTGAGTAGAAATATTTTTAACTGAGCAAGGTCGGTAGTTACTACCTAGTTGAATATTCAACCGATTGTATAAAAAGTACTTCAACTTCGTATTCATAGAATAAAATTTTTCACAATGAAAAATACGATGTTTTCGTTTTATTGTGACGACCTCCGTCATTGAGTCGCTTGCACACCGATTTTCATGGTGTTGCTTTTGATTCCCGGCTGAGTCAATACAGAAAACCGTTTCTATATTATCTCTGGTTTGGGTATTTGTGGTACCGTCGTTGTTTCCGATTTCCATGACACAAGTGCTTTATTACTTACTTCGGGATTAGGACAACGTCACGTACGTTGTCACGTATATTGCCTAATATTTATTTATTATTTTCTGAATGAACTAACATGCAGAATTAGTTGGCTGAGCGCTAAGGTAGAGAATAGCAGCGGGGTCGTGACGATCTGGGGGCCTCCCATGAGCTTATAAGCAACCAGCCAAGTTCCATGCAATTTTGATCGGTAAAACTGAATTGCCTAAATTCGTATCATGATGTACACAAAGTTGAACGGGAATGGCATGGCTGAATGATGAGTTTTACTTTTTAAACGTTAATTATTGTCTCTGGCTGGCTGGCTGACATCTAACAAGAGCGAGATGGAACTACATACTAAATCTTAGGAAAACAGACAGATGTACTATCCTGAGAGCGTTCAAGCACTATTAACCGATTGTGTTTTGTGATTTGTACTTGGTCTTTCAACGACTTTTTAATCGTAGCGCCGTCTATGAGAAATCTATTGCAGATTTATCACCCAGTTAGTACCTTTACAGCTACCAGTCCTGGCGAGAGATGTCGCTATTCACTGATGTAATGAAATTTTTATTGAATTGATATTCAATTATTTTTTGTGAAATTACTCCACTAGTTTGTTATAATTATTAATATAAAGATCGAACACTAAGAAAAAACACTCAGAAAAAATTCCTTCGATCCGGTCGGATTCGAACCGACGTCTTCTTGCATACCGTGCCAGACGCTATACCAACTAAGCCACGGAACGAACCAACGGACCTCACGAATTTCTCTATGTGCTTGCGTCGTGTCTTTGTACTTGGTCTTTCAACGACTTTTTAGTCGTAGCGCAGGAGTGGCAAATACCTATTTTGCCACTCCTGGCGATTTGCTAACGCATTATAAAAGATTCATACAACACTCCGCCCCCCATTTGTTCACAACTACATTTTTCACAAAAATCTGAATCGCCGTCCGCAATAGACTATAAAAACCGGAAATAACGTGATAAATCAAATATGGCGCTTGTCGCTTCCACCGGAAGTGCGTTGGGGGCTCGGGTTGTTTCCTTTACGCTATATCTATGTAACTTCGTCACATTTACGCGTAATTTTTTTAGAATACGTGAAAAATCCTAACGAAATATCATTTTCCCTGATAATAAATCCTCTGCTGTCTCAGGTTGTGCCACTCTAGATATTTTCCAGATTATGGAAATTTGCACACGCATTCGTGGAGCTAATATCCACCGCATTTAGAGAATTTTCTACCAAACACCTTACAACTTGTGACCAAAAGAAACGTGACGAAAAAATAACAACCCAGAGTCCCGATGCGATTATTGTCGTCCTGACTTTGAGTTTTTTTGCTTATTTACTGGCGGAGCTATATGATGTACTTCATAAGGAAAATGGCGGAGGAACGTGTGCGGAGATTTTTCCTGTGATTTTTTGTAATAACACGAAAATGGTCGACAGAAATGACGATTACAATGGTCTTTTTTCTTTTCTATTGGTAGTGTTAGTAAGACAAAGTTTATCAAGGATTGTGGGGTGGCTCCGCGAATAGCGAACAGGCAACATAAAGTCTAAATAGAACCTGTTCCGTGGAACTATTTAAAATGCTTTACGAAATGAAAACTACTTCTGCTGATGGCACTATCGGTCTGGAGTCCGATCTGTTGCGTGACTACTGTCTGAACAGTCAATTGGACCTTAACCCCTCCAAATATTTTTTTAATGACTTTTTCAAACAAGTTCTAAACTATTTCTACCTCTTATAGTTTGAAAAACTGAATTCTAGAACGAAAGACAGTCATGAGGAATGTGGGTGTCATTCATGATTCAAAGCTTTGATGCTCGTAGTGATGATGTTGTTTCCAATACTAAGTCTCTTGGATTCGTAATGCGTAACTCAGTCTGTTTCTCAAAACAAGAACTTGAATGAATATTATATTGTGCATTAGTTCCCGTAAAAAGTTAGAAAATGCTTCCCAAACCTGAAATCCGATACACCAAGATTATCGAGAGAATTGAACGAGACCAAAATAAATTTATTAAATTATCTACTCTATCTCTTGGATAACCAAAAAAGAACAGTGTGATTTCACTTGTGCACTTACCGCGCTGGTTTCGACTCATAGCATTGGTGTACGGCGGCCGATATCTTCATTGTTATCGCTGCGGTTTTCGTGATACGATACGATTTCGGGCAGTTGAGGCATGCTCCTTGAAATTTATTCAATGATTATTAATTATTTTATTTTTATTTATTTATTTATTTTTTTTATATAATCCAATCTAATTAATCTGATATTTTGATTATTTGTTAATTTAATGATCATGTTCCATCATTTATGTTTGTATTTATAATATAAATTTATTATGAGCTCGATATTATACAATACTTACAAAATACTTTAGAAATATACAATACTTTAGAAATACACTAGTAATAGCTCTAATCGTAATAATACGTACCGTTATGGTGTAGGACACTGCGTGTTTCATTCTGTAAACAAAACAACGGAGCGAACTGCGTTGTGCTGGCTGTCGAACAGCGTCCCCTCCCCCTTACTTCTCCCCGCGCACCTTTCGTCACAATCCGACTCGGACGAGGATCGAGAATAATTTTATTTGTTAGATAATTACGTTACCACACTATAAACACACACAGAGGGTATATTCATATTTTATATATATATTTTTGTTATATTTATGTAGATTTAATATAATATAACACACACAGCAGTAACACAATGCACAAAATACACTTACATAAACAAATATTTAAGTAGGTAGTTTATTTTATTTTGCGACACACACGTCCGTCACTCATCTCGGATCTGGGCTCATTGAAAACCAGCGCCACAGTCAATTCTGGCTGTGGTAAAAGCTGAATGTAGTCCTTTTGCGTACGCCACGACTGCACAAATGACTGAACAATTTGTTGTTATTTTGCTTTTGTTTTTTTTTCTTTTTTTCCTTTTTTGTTTGTTTTGATAATTTTAATGTTTTCTTTTTTCATTTGTTTGTTTTACGTATGTCTATTTTGTTTATTAATTATTATTACTGTTATTATTTTTAATTTTAATGTTCATCGTACTGTGTTATAATTCATTTTTTTTTGTATCATGTGTTGTGGCGTCGCAATAAATGTCTATTCTATTCTATTCTATTCTATTCTAAATTCTTATGCTATAAAATGAGTAAGTCTTATAATTCATTCGACTGCCTACGTTCTGTAAGAATCTGAATCTATTACCTCTAAATATTCTCTAAAAATATATGACATAGCGTATATTCTAAACATCATAAACGGCAATGTTGATTGCCTTGACCTATTGTGTGATATTTCGTTTAATGTACCTACGCATACTATGAGACACTATCACCCTATTGCAATTCCCTTAGCGAGAACTAATTATAGACAAAATAGTTTTCCACGTAGAGCTAGCAAACGCTTGGATAGTGAGCTGAGCAATCATGACCTGGATGTTGATTTGATATATTTAATTGTAATGTTGATACGCACTCACGGACATTCTATTTAATATTATTGAATAGTTCGTAAATGTTGACACAGGTATTGGTTTGTTATATATTTGTGTAAATGCATGTTGTTAACAAATACTGTTTATTGCGCGATTGTTTAATGCCTGTGTTTGATTTTTCTGAAACCATAGGCGTAAACCTGTAATTGGCTTTATGTTACTATTCCTGTTTATTAAATGGTTGAAGCTGTTGGTTTTTCATGAATAAATAAATCTGCTCTCAATAAATTCAAGAACAATATAACACGGCTGCATTCAACAGCAACACTGGATGATATAATAAATCAGAAAATAACATACTTTCATTACTTTAATCTTGATGCTAGCTATACCTACTTAATTAGTTTAAAATTAAGAGTTTATTTATTATTGAGAAGTCTAGACTATCTAGCCTATACGTAAGACCTGGGTTAAGGAGCCAGTAAAACATGTGTTCGCACTACGATATTTATTCGACGACTGAGCAACAAAATACATGACCTACCCACATAGCATTTATAATAATCTTACTCTCCAATACATACATCACACCTCCCCACTTAAATCACTACATACATTATAAGAAACATAATATAAAAAATTACAAAGTATATAATTTAGGTATACAATACATACGTTACATACACGACACATTCTGTAATACTTACTTTAAATATAGTTTAAGTTTGTTGTACATTTGACAACCATATAAATCAGTACACAACCCTTAATTTTAACAAAATGTAAACTTATCCTAAACTAATAATCTATGCCGTATCTTAACACTGGCTTAATCACCCGCTTGGGACGGGTCTCCGGAGACTCAGGCGTCGAGGGTAGAGAGGAGCACGAAGAGCCAGAATCGTCTAACCGAGCGTCAACCACACGCCCTTCGCTCACAGTCTCGTGCTCTCTTCCACCCTCATTAGCAACCTCCTCACCCACGCCGTCCAGCGACGGAGCTCCAATATCTTTCTTATCATTATTTTGAATGACATCTTTAGGACATGGTACACCGGACAACCGAGATTTGCGCCTAATTTGATCGATATGTCTACTTAAAAGTCGACCGTCACCGCTTTCTAAAATGTATCTCCGAGAGCCCTCACTATTGACTACCGTACCATTCAGCCATTTGTCGGAGCCGCCGTAGCTTCTAGCGGTTACTTGGTCCCCGGGTGCGAGCGTTCGCAGCACACCCCCTGCATGAGCCACCTGTCGCGACTGCGCGTCGAGAACGCAGTCCTCGCGGGCGCGCTCGCTGCGCAAGAGATCTAATCGAGACCGCAGAGACCGTCGCTGCAGTAGCATTGCGGGACTTTCTCCGGTACTACTGTGGACGCTATTTCTGTAAGATAACAAGAATGTTTGTAGGGCTGCGTCGACGTCGGTAGACTCCCTCATGGCCTTTTTAATAAATCGTTTACAAAGTTTCACGGCGTTTTCCGCGGCCCCGTTCGACGCTGGATGGTACACCGGAGAGAATGATTGCCGAATACCGTTCTTTTTTAGAAAGTCCCTAAACTCTGCACTCGTAAATGGCGGGCCCTGATCGGATACTATTTCGGTTGGCAGCCCAAAACGAGCAAATGTAGCTCTAAGAGCTTTAATTACGAACGATGCATTTGTCCTAGGCATATCGAAAACTTCTAGCCATTTAGAACTGGAATCTATTAAAACCATAAACGTTTTGCCATTCATAGGGCCTAGGAAATCAATATGGAGTCTACTCCACGGGCGCACATCATATGGCCAGGGCCGCGGGGGCGCGCGCGGCGGCGCCTCCGCCTCTGCCGCGCAAGTGTCGCATTGCCGGCACACCGCTTCCACATCACTGTCCACTCCCGGCCACCATACATAACTCCTAGCCAACGACTTGGTTTTTACAATACCCATATGACTTGCATGGAGTTGATTTAAAACGGTATTTCGCAAGGCCGTTGGAATAATTAATCTATAACCCCACATTAAACATCCTCGATCTATATACAGTTCGTTCCGTTTATTAAAATATGGCTTTAACTCCTCTGTACATGTATGTGGCCTACCAGATTGAACGTAGAATATAACGCGGCTCAAAAGAGAATCTTTAGAAGTAGCTAACCGCACATTATCATTAGTCACGGGCAGGAATTGTTCTACAAAATGAATGTACGTAGTCTCTTTACCTACAGTACCGACGGAACCGGTTTGCGGCAACCGTGATAAGGCGTCCGCGCAGTTTTTATGGGATGAAACATGTTCGATCTCGTAACTATAACCAGATAACAATACCGCCCACCTTTGCAAACGCGATGCCGCCATAGTCGGTATACCTGATTTATTACCAAAAATATATGTTAATGGCTTATGATCCGTTCTTAACGTGAATTGTCGACCGTATAAGTATTGGTGGAATTTTCTTATTCCATAAATAATACCCAATGCTTCCCGATCAATCTGGGCATAGGCTCGCTCCGCGGGTGCGAGAGACCGCGATGCATATGCGATAGGTCTCTCTCCGTCGGGCGTTACGTGCGATATGATGGCACCTATCCCGACGCTGCTCGCGTCTGCCGTCAACACGAGAGGTAAATTTGGGGAGTAATGGACTAAAACCTCACTGGAGCTTAATTGCTTCTTAATGTACATAAAAGACGTTTCACATTCCTTGGTCCACACAAACTTAACATTGGCTCTAAGCAGTTCATATAGTGGCGCTAAAATCGTACTAACATTTTTTATGAACTTCGCGTAGTACATAACCATTCCTATAAAAGACCTAAGTTCAGATACGGTAGTCGGTGCGGGTGTATTCACAATAGCATCGACCTTCTCTGAACACGTTTGTATGCCGTGTTTACTTATAACGTGCCCTAAATAATTTATGGCCTCATGAAAAAAAACACATTTCTCCCTCTTCACCCGGAGACCGCTTGATGCTAACCGATCGAAAACTTTATGCAGATTATCGATATGTTCCTTAGTATTTCTACCAGTAATGATAATATCATCCAAGAAAACTCCTACGTGCGGTAAATCTGAGAATAGTTGTTCTAGTCGCTTTTGAAATATTCCCGGGCTGGACGATAGGCCGAACACTAATCGATTGTACATAAACAGTCCTTTATGAGTATTAATGACAGCGTATTTTTTTGTCTCGTCGAGTTCGAACTGAGCGTAAGCCTGTGACAGGTCAATTTTACTGAACATTTCACCTCCATGCAAACGTGCCAACAGGTCCTCCACCCTTGGAAGCGGATAACGGTCGACCTCTATTACCTTGTTCAAGGTCAATTTGAAATCAGCGCAAATCCTAATGGTACCGTCCTTCTTAACTACTGGAACAATTGGTGTAGCCCAGTCGGAGCGATCGACGGGGGTGAGGATGTTGTCGCGTACCAGCTGCTCCAGCACGCGCTCCACCGGCTCCCGCAGCGCGTACGCCAGCGGTCGCGCGCGCAGGAACACCGGCCGCGCGCCTGGCCTCACGTGGATGCCCACCTTGCCACCGGTGAACCGTCCCAGGCCGTCGGCGAATACTTCACAATATCTGGAACTGAAATCCTTGAAATTAAAACTCTCGCTGGATAAATGGTTAACCTTATCGTAACCAAATCTAGGTAACTGCACTTTCAGTTCTACCAGCCACTGTCTACCCAGTAAAGATGTTTTAGCGTCGCGTACTACATACAGATCCAAATATTTTCGTAAACCCTCATACACCACTAGCGGCCTGATCACCCCCACAGGTCGCACCAACTCCCCCGTATAATATCTAAGTATTAATCCGCAAGTATTGAGTTCCAAGTCTTTTAAATATTTCAAATAAAATTCGTGGCTTATACACGATACTGCACTGCCCGTGTCACACTCCATTTTCACATTTTTACCGTGTATATTTACTGTTAAAATTAATGGTTTGCATAGCCCTAATGATAGTTGATTAATTCCAACCACAGTTACCTCCTCACTGTCCTCACTATGTGTGGACTCGTTGTCCACTGACTCCGCCACGCCCAGGTTGTGATGCCCCGTCATGTAGGGGCAAACTCGCCGCAGGTGCCCCTGCTTGTTGCATACTCTGCACACATAGCGTGCGAACTGGCACCGCGCCACGTCATGCGGGCCGCCGCACGCGCCGCACCGCTGCTCGCGCTGGCGCTGGCCTCGCGCTGTCTGAGCGGCCGCCGCACCGCGCGCGAGCTGAGCCGCGCCCTGCGGCGCGCGCGGCGCCTGACCGCGCTTGGCCCGGCTCGCTGGCTGCCTGCTCGCCGCCCACGCTCCCTCCACCGCTTGGCACACGGCGACACTCGCTCCGCTCGCACCCTGCACGTCCGCTCGGCCCTGAACCACCGCGGCGTTCTTCTCCGCCGTCTCCATGCTGACCGCCAAACGATATGCCCTCGCGAAATCTAGGTCATCCTCGGTGAAAAGACGCTGCCGTATTGTCTCGCACCGAATACCGCACACAAACTGGTCCCTCAAACTTTCCTCTAACCAGGTCTTGAATTCACAAGTCTTAGACATTTTTTTTAATACCGCCACGTAATCGGACACTGTTTCATCACAATTCTGTTTTCGATGCCTGAACTTGTATCTTTCTGCTAGTATGCTCGGTTTAGGTTGTAAATGTTTTTCTAGAACCTTCGTTAAATTTACGAACGATTTACTTGAAGGCTTGTCCGGAGTACACAGGTCTACTAACAGTTCATAACAGTCCGCACCAATCACTGTGATCAACGTGGGCACCTTCAACTCTTCCTTAATATTATTAACAATGAAATATTGTTCGAGGCGTTCCACGTATAACCGCCAATTGTCCGACCGAATATTGAACTCGGAAATTCTACCGACCGACATTATTATTTTATATATATTATGATTATGACACTCACAGTTTCGTAAGTCCGTATTCTCGTCGCCACTGAGAAGTCTAGACTATCTAGCCTATACGTAAGACCTGGGTTAAGGAGCCAGTAAAACATGTGTTCGCACTACGATATTTATTCGACGACTGAGCAACAAAATACATGACCTACCCACATAGCATTTATAATAATCTTACTCTCCAATACATACATCACAATTATAAAGCTATAATATAGACTATAATACAGGCATCCCTATCTTAGACATTAATCCTTCATACATAAGTTACGTAATTTACCTTGTATGTTATTTTTAAGTTATTGAATGTGGCGATGTTTGACCACAATGAATTAGTCCTGTGAAATTACTCCAGTTTGTTAAAATTATTTTAATATAAAGATAGGACACTTAGAAAAAATCCCTTCGATCCGGCTGGATTCGAACCAACGTTTTCCAGCGAACCGTTATAGACACTATGCCAACCAAGCCACGGCAAGAACTAGCGGACCTTACGAATTGTTCTATGTACTTTTTGCAGACTTTTATTTTTGGTTTCTTACTACTTCTTTGCCGTATCGCCATTTGTGAGAAATATATTTCTTTACTTAGCCTTACTTAACCTTTACAGCTATCGGCAGTTGCTTGTATAATGTTATTATTTTTTGGACTCTCGCTTTGCCCATAGACTAGAAGTTAAATTTCGAACTTTTAAATCGAAGAGGCGATATTCTCCGGCAATGGCGCAATCGACCGGATTCAGAGATTCTGGTTAAAGAACCGGTAAACGAGACGTGCCGTATAGAGTTCCGTTTTCTGCATTTGTGCTTAAGGCGACAACGCCTTTGAACCGCCTTAGGTTGTTAACTGGATGGAGTTGACGCGTCACGAAACAACTCGCAACCTTAGAGTAATAAAGTCATATCTACAAAATGACAACTTTTCAGGAGAGAGGTTTAATTATTGCAGATATCTAAACAATTTTTTACTTACCAAATATATTTAAAAATAAAAGGGTGAAAATAGTTTAATATTTTTGACTAAGGACTATTTTGGCCTGAGCTAGCTCACATAAAGTTTGTGTAATTTGGAGTTAAGTTATTTCTTACAATATTCTAATATCTATCAAATTTTGCTTTCAGCAATTGTTACAATCTTGAATTTCACATATTTTGAATTACGACATTATTGTAATACCAGTGCAATATACAAAATTTGTTTCATGTAGTTCATATTAATGTTATAACTTTGACGTAAAAGCACTTTTGACGGATAATCACATGTGACGTTATTAAACCAAGGGTATTATGGATTAGTATTATTCCTGTGGATGCCACAGCTGTTCTGGAGTGCTAGGTCGGATACTTTTGAAATTTATCCCGATTTCGGGTTTTACAAGACGCTCATCATGTGGGTTGGTAACGTCCACAAGAAACACCCTCAACTGCGCCCGAGCCTTTAGCATAATGTCAGACTATTATTATTAATTTAGTAAGAAACTAAATTCACCACCAGTTCGGGGAAGTTCTGCCACCATAAGTATATCTGCCACAATATCTGCCTATAACCGCTCACGCGATGCGCTCTTCCTACCGCAAAATGGCGGCTATTTGGTTTCGCAAATTAGAAAAGGATTCAGTTTAAATACAAGTTTTTATAAATAAAAATTATTATTCTGCATTGCTAAACAAATACCCTCCGTACTACAATAAAAACATCTCAAATAAAATGCAGTAATACACCGCAAATCCTGCACTTAAAAAGCACTAATGAAATTTTTGGTGTACTTGGGTAAATATGATAATATTCCGTTTGAGTGGTTCTAACGTTTACCATGAAATTACTCCTTAAAGTATAGTTTATAAATATTTATATTCAGGGTAAACTTAAAAAACGCTACTTACGGTACGTTTTCAATATTAGTTTTTTTACCTGTTATAACTTCGATATCCGATAAATCGGTATAAAATCATCACCGGCACCTCTAGATGTGGTATGCGTCTACGGCTGCATGTATCGCGTGAGCGGCTAAGCAGTAATGTTTACATTACTGCACTCCCGTTTTGAAGCGTAAGGGTGCTGATAAACTTATGAGCACATGGGATTTGTCAACTAATGTGGCAGTGGGAGTGCCCTTCAGACCTTTGCTATATTTAAAGCTCTGAGTGGCACTGCAACTGTGATAGATAACCGTGTCACTTTCCACCAGGCACACGGCTTCTTCGTCCAATCACTTGGTAGGTATCATAAAAAAAAATAGATTCCAAAGCTCTCATAATAAGTATAATGCTCACTAAAGTTACACGAATAAAAAAATATGTTAGTAGGAAGACAATCATTCTAAGATTTTCGTGGAGGATGATTTCATTCAAAACAAAACTCTCGTCTCAATTCACGGCTGGTCGTAATATTTTACGACCGACTAAAGGTGGCTCCACACACGCCGCGCCGCCGTGTGGCCGCCTAAGTGAAACGCACCACGTAGCCGCATAAGCGATATTATATTATCCTGCCGGCGGCAGAGGGGAAATGCCAGGGGAATTATTTTTTAGTAAAGTTTCCGCAAAATAACGGCTTTGACCTACAATATTTCAGTAGTAGGTACCTGTTAAAATACGTATCTATACCAACTGATATAGTCATTTCTTTAGCAATTTATTCCCAAACGCGAATTTGATACTACACACATCCAAAGGGTCTAGGGATCAAAGTGTTTGCTTTTAATATTTGATTACCGTACTAAAATTCAATAAAAGTATCCATACAAATTTATTATATTATTTCTTTATTCTTCTGGTACACCTCGAGAGTATACCCTTTCAAACAAAAGAAGAATTTTCAAAATCGGTCCGCAATTGATGGAGAAATTGTAGAATAATAGTGCTTGTAAAATTTGAGGATTTCCTTTGATTTTCATGGGATCCCTCATCACATTCTGACTTAGTGACAATGGGACTACCAAGAGAGTGCACCCTTTCAAACAAAAAAGAATTTTCAAAATCGCTTCACAATATTTGTTTTTTCAACCAGACTAACGTTTGACGTTGACTGAGGTGGTGTCATCAATCAGTTATGTCTAATATTAATGCAAACCACCTTACTTTTCACTATAGTTACAAAAGTTGTTCACTTTGTACTTGGTGCAAGTAATTGATTAAATAACTTATTTTTAAATTTTTAAAAAACATGTTTTACAGTTATTTTATTTTTAAAAAAAAATTACTTTTTATTAAATTAAATTTAGATAGATAGATAGACAGATAAACAGTTTATTCACTGATATAACACGAATAAAGAAAATCAAAACATGATTGTCATAGCAGTGAAACGGCGCTGACTCAGCACATGCCAAAGTTTCCTAAAGCGCTGGTTTTCAGTCAGGACCAACGAAAGGGATTCAATTATTTGAAAGCAAAAATATAATGACTATGAGTAAAGTTGTACATTGACAATAATAATATACATAGTAAAGTGTAAATGGTGCATCTCAAATAACCTGTTTGACATGTTAGTGCATGAGCGAGTGTGAATATAATTACAGCTGTAGGAGTAAGTTGTCACTGTAAAGAGGTTTTAATGTTGTATAATGTGTTTAGTATATAATATAATTATGCACATAATGTGAATAGATCAAAGCGAAAATTCGATTCTAGACAGACTACGTTAAAGAATAAAAACACACTACAGGTGTTGCCGGCACAGTGCTTTGAATTTGGGTTTGGATGTCTCGTTGCGTATAGGTGGTGGAATATTATTCCAGCACTTTGAGGCCGACTCTTTGAAACTACCTCGAAAAGCTGCAGTTCTTTGTTGTGGTACCATAAGAACACATGATCGGACATTATTCTCGGATATTAATTTAAAATGGAAATTAGAATAAATTATATCACATTAATTAGTACTGCAGTCTTATGTCTGTCTGGGATTTTTCATCAGAGGAAATACTAGATCCCAAGCTGGTGGTACGGAGAAACCATCTTTCCTGTAGAAATTAGGATGTCTTTTTTAATTTCAAGGACCACTCGCAGCATCCTGGATAGATAACTGACATCTTTCGCAAGGACTTAGGGTGTGTCAAACTTGATAGAATGTGTAGGTTTATCCATGACATGCTCGCAGACTGCAGAATTGTTTACCCGACGGCGTTCGACATCAGCTTTATGTTCTTTGACGCGGGTACAAATACTTCGCTTCTCTTGTCCAATATAAGAGAGACCGCACTCACAGTCAAGCTTGTAAACTCTTGCATCCTGTAAGTTAAGAGCGTAAGGATGTTACATTTCACGGGCCTAGGTAATCAAGGGCTTGAAATAGGTTTTCATAGACGCGCGCCTGAGGACTCTTCCGATCTTGTCTGTAACACCTCTCACGTAAGATAGAATGGCAGGGATTCGCTCGACTGTTGGTGGTTTCACATACTTTTATTTTTTGAGTAATTCTATGTACAGTGGTAGAGGTTATCTGGTTGAGTGCGATGGCCTACTTGTTTTATTTGCATTTGGTCCAAACTAGGCCAACATCCTAGGAAATTATACGCGCGTAACGTACCTATATTTATTTTACAACTTGCACCCTTTCTACTTTATAGACTATATGCGTGCAAAGTACTGAGAGAATGGCGTAACTGGTGATTTTCGTGACCGGCATAAGGAAGCGTCTGTTAACCTGATAATAGACGTTTCCTTTATAACAGAGTGCCCTCTCACTCTGTTATGAAGGCACTTCCTTATGGAGTCATGGGAATAACGAACGTTTAAAAGGGTTGGGGTAAAGATTAATAAATATCTGAGAATAAACACAAGACGTGAGATTGTGGTAGGCAGAAATATGACGGTAACAAGGTAAAGATCGTTTTCATTCGGTGTTAATAGAATTTAATATAATTGAATATATTACCTGTTCAGAAATAGGCAAAGTGGCAGTACTTCCCTGGACGAACACTTTCGCAAGAAGCTCTACTGCTACAATTTTTTCTTTTAATATAACGTAAGTCTAAATTAACTGCCATCATCATGCCGGACTGCAGAGGTCCCAGGACGAGGTTCGATTCCCGGGACGGGAGAAATATTAGTATGGTCTATATTTTATTTCTCTTGTGAATTTGGTTGTAATTTGTGGTTGTCTGTGTCCATGGTACACGCGACACAGGGTTTTCCTAGTGCGGGGATATGTTGAAGGTGTGAGTTATTTATAAATTAC